GTTTATTCGATATAATGTAGGTTGTGCGTAAAAAATAATTAAGGCATTTTATGCTATTTAGCATAATTATTAACTGAACTATAGTGTAGATAAGTGTCTCTAGGCGTTTCTGGATCTAGGTCTGGGTGTTTAGACGTCTTTAGTGACATTATGCATATTGAACATTGTAGTATTTTTACTGAACATTTAATTTGTTTTGTAAATTTTTCAGTCCAGTAAACGATAACTTGAATATCATTAAGTACTTGTTTTCGAAATATTTTTAAATAATTATAAACCTTCTTCAATAGATAATTCTTCGATAGAATACGTATCTTGGATAACTTCACAAGTTTCGTTGCATTTCTGTAATTTTAACACGTTTTTGAAACACTGACGAATTTTCTATGACGATGACGAATGGTAAAAATTTCAAAGTCTCGCCGCAAACGTATCAGTATGGCGATCGTTAATGTATTATAAAATTTTTTATATTTTTCATTATATCTTTACGAGAGTATTATCGATGGTTTTGCTGAAGTTTTAACGATGACCAATATTTTTATCTGCATAGTTGTCAGCCGCACCTACTCAAAATTAAATTTTATCAGACACAGTAACTCATAAACATATTCGGACACCGGTATAATTTTGACATATATGTTTTATTTTTTGAACAAAAGTCCATACAGGGTATTCGGCCACCCCTGGGAAAAATTTTAATGGGGGATTCTAGAGGCCAAAATAAGACGAAAATCAAGACTATCAATTTGTTGATGGAGGTTTCGTTAAAAAGTTATTAACGTTTAAAGTTCCGCCCGTACTGAATTTTTTCCCCGAAAATGCGCAAGATTTCGGGAGTATGTCTATTCACCAAAAATGATTGTAATTGACCCCCGCAACCGAAAATAATTTTTCCAAAACGATTCGAAATTTTTCTTTTTCGTCGAATTTAGGCATCTAATTAGATTTTCGGTAAAGAATTTTTTTTCTCGAAAGTGCGTAGGATTTCGGGGGTATGTGTAATGACCAAAAATGATTGTAATTGACCCCTGTAATTAAATATAATTTTGTTAGTATGATTTTAAATATTTTAATTTCGTTAAAAATTTGAATTTCTACTCGAATTTTTTTCTCAAAAGTGGGTAGGATTTCGGGGATATGTGTAATGACAAAAAATGATTGTAATTGACCCCTGTAACTAAATATAATTTTGTTAGTATGATTTTAAATATTTTAATTTCGTCTAAAAATTTCAATTCCTACACGAATTTTTTTCTCAAAAGTGGGTAGGATTTCGAAGGTATGTGTATTTACCAAAAATGATTGTAATTGACCCCCGCAACCGAAAATAATTTTTCCAGAACTATTCGAAATTTTTCTTTTTAGTCGAAAAATTTAGGCACCTAATTAGATTTTTGGTAAAGAATTTTTTTCTCGAAAGTGCGTAGGATTTCGGGGATATGTGTAATGCTAAAAATGATTGTAATTGACCCCTGTAACTAAATATAATTTTGTTAGTATGATTTTAAATATTTTAATTTCGTCTAAAAATTTCAATTCCTACACGAATTTTTTTCTCAAAAGTGGGTAGGATTTCGAAGGTATGTGTATTTACCAAAAATGATTGTAATTGACCCCCGCAATCGAAAATAATTTTTTCAGAACGATTTGAAATTTTTTAATTTAATTGTTAATACCTCTCTAACGAGGTCTCAGTCAAGAAACTGTTATTCTTTATTTTCGTCTTATTTTGGTCTCTAGAATCTCCCATTCAAATTTTTTCCAGAGGTGGCCGAACCACCTGTATATTAAGATATCTATAAAATCGAACGGTCAACAACAGTACTGATAAGAATCGATTGCCTTTGTTCATCCTCTAATCAAGCTTTCCTCTTCTTAATCATCAAACGTTGTTCGTCTCACGGTATCTTCATCGAACAATTACACTCTTGTACGATCGACTGATTTTTATATCAATTTTGTATATAGAAATCGCGATCGTGATCTTTTCCTCATCTTTCACGAAAGCAACATTTAAATTGACATTTTTATCAAAATCTCGCTGCAATTTCTAAAAGTACACGTTTCGAATTAACAACTTCACGTCTATAAATTGTCGATAATTAATTGCTATCCCGATTTCAAGTTAGAGGTTTAAGGGGTATGTCCACAGTAAAAACCTGAAATAAAGCGTTTTTTTTTTTTTGGATGGTTGGAAAAATACGAAGATAATAATATTCAAAAATGTTATTAACCATGTCGTTGAGTGTTAAAAAAAAAATATTTATTCGAAAACAGTGCAAAATGACGACGCTGGAGCCATTTTCGCGAGGCGTTCTGCGCCTCGCAAAATTTTCTCTTAATCTACACGAGTATAGCTAGAGAAATACGTAGGGGAGTCTCGAAACATTAATTTTTGTGTGATTGGCGAGCATTTGAAGTAGAAAGTTCAATTTTGTACAAAAAATGGGCAATTATCATTTGTCAATAAATAATATTAAAATTAACTTATCGAAGTTCCCCTACGTATTTCTCTAGCTATACTCATGCAGATTAAGAGAAAATTTTTTGCATACAGATACAAATTTGCGTCAGTTACACTGCATGCCGCAGAGCGCCTCAAATTCTAAACACGCCTCGCGAGAATGGCTCCAGCGTCGTCATTTTGCACTATGTTTGAATAAATATTGTTTTTTTATAACACTTAACGACATGGTTAATAACATTCTTGAATACTATCCTCTTACCTTTTCATCTATCCAAAAAAAAATCGCGAAAAAACGCTTTATTTTAGGTTTCTACAGTGGTGTTACCCCTCAAGAAGAATGGTCGTATATTTCGAATATGTTTCTAGAATTAGCAAGCACGCGTATCACCGGATAAGGAAGTATTTAGATTCAATTTCATCGGCTAAATTTCTCCAAATCATTGATCTCTCTCATAAAGATATAACGAAAAAATATAATAAATTTGATATCACGTTAACATTTACGAGACCGATAACGTGCGCGGCATACCTTTGATGTTTTGGCCACTCCCTCGCTGTTGTTCCATCTTCTTCGTTCTCTGTATTCTATTTCATTGTTGAATAATTCGCGCGTCTTGGCTCGAAATAGAATTCGGTTCCGACTACCCCTAATCGACATCCAGCGGGCCCGATTTCTCGTCATTAAACGAAGGCTTGCTGCACCTTTATGAGAGCAACCATTGATCGATTCGCGTGATCTTTCGTTCTAAACGTTCAAAACCATTCCAATATAAATCAGTCCTATTTTAAGGGTTGGAAAATAATAAAAATTTGTCATTAACCAAAAAAATAAACCATGTAGACCTAATAAGCAATTTCATTTTTTTTTTTTTTTTGTAAAGTCCACGTTGAAAATTAACGAAAATAAATATGTATCGGAGCCACATAGTGACAATGATAGTAATGATTGACGGCTAATGACAGTTTTTATTGTTTAATCCTTTAGAAGTCCCTCTTCAGCCCGGGACTGTCATGGACTGACCTAACGTGTTCACGTTAACACGCGACTGTCACGGACTGATGCGGTTGGTTTTTGCATGTTTTATTTTGTATAACATTTTTTTAAATCCGGTTCTCCATTTTTGAGAAAATCGACTTTATTATTAATTATTCGATTAAAGTCGGGCCAGTCCAAACGAAAGTGTTTCACAGGTTGCAGCGTTAACGTTTGATTGGTTCCTAAGTCATTAGCTTAAATTAATTAAGTTGTTGCTGGACAATGCGAAAATCGAGGCGTAGTTTGAATCACTTCATCGTCCAATTCGCTGAACACAAGTTTTCCTTTTCTTTTGTCGTAATAGATATTTTCTCTGTTTTGCGTAACCACTGTTTGCATGGTTCTTCAGCAACGTCGTTGCAATAATAGATAAAACTCTTGATTTCTTACACGCTCATGACGTTCCCAGCAGTTGTTTAGCACGCCATGAATCTTTAACGGATTCGTAACTTTGATAAAAAGAATTAGTTTCGATGTCATCGTAACTAAAATAAAATTCGCTCGTTTTGTAACGTTCTAAAAACTTACTCAATATCGTGAACAATTTTGAAAAAGTTGCACGTTAATGTTTTCCGCATCCGTTGTGATGATTGTTGCAACAGTTTCTCAGATTTCCTAATAAATTTTTTTCAACTTAACAAACTTTTATAAGGAGAAACAGTGAGATCATCTAATGCACGAAATTCTCTGACGTCATTTCACTGTCGAAATAGATCGTGTACACTTTGAAACATAAAATGTTGCAGAAATGTTGTTGCAACGTGTTCAGAGGCAAACATAGATACATTGCAAGGTTAAAAATAAATAAAAAAAAAAGAAAAGTAGTCTATCAAATATTTTGATTTCTTAACGAAAATGTTTCTATAATGTTTAGTGTTGCACGGGTGATTAGAATCGAAAGTACCTTACGTTGCAGTACAAAGTAATGAAACAGTAGGGAACCAGGAAATTCGACGTTTCATTGTTTTAAAACACTGCCTGGAAATGTATCATTTAGAATCATTGCACGTAATTAGACCGTTACTAGAAAAGGCACTAGATTGGAACGGTCGCGGTCACTTTAACGCCTATAAATATAAAATTTCAACGAGCAGTAGTAGAATTTCATTTCTAACTCGTAACTAGTATTCAAATAAATTTTGTCGCGATTCCCTTCTCTAATTTTTAAAATTCCAATCTTACGGTTTAAAAATTTACGATTAGAATTTCGAGGTTGAAGGGAATGCAAAGGAACAAATCCACGGGAGTACGAAACAAAAATTATTTAAATTTCTTTAAACGAAAACGAAAACCGTTCTCGACTTTTACGCTTCTCTAATTTTAAAAATTCCAATCTTACGGTTTAAAAATTTACGATTAGAATTTTGAGGTTGAAGAAAATGCAAGGGAACAAATGTGCAATTTGTTGGAATTCTAGAGTGGAAGAGCTTTTTAAGAACGATCCGTCTACGCGGTAAATTTTTGAAGCGGCGAAGAAGTAACGACGCGTTTGGCGAAGATTGCCGAAGAATGTCGAGGAGGAGTTCGTGCCTTGTACAGGTTGTTCGGGTGGTGTCGTTGGATCGAGTGTTGACACGCAACGTCATTTCGTCGCGCCTCCACCACACACCGGTTCGGTGCGATGATAAAAGACCGTTGCTCCTGCGACTGTTCAGTTGTTCGCAACGTGGAACGCAATCTAGTGTACGCCTCTCGAGAAAGCTTCTCACGCCGTTCGCTATACATCGACTTTCATTCAGAAGTTACTCTTGCAAGAAAGATCAGGACAAGATGACGCCCCCCAAGAGAGATCCGGCTGCAGAGCAGCTGAACGAATACAAGAAACATGCCGAGGTATGTAGTGCGTTCTCGCTGGACATCATAGTGAAATTATACTTTTTCTTCTTTTACACTTCGCCCGCCATTCTCCATCGTTGCTGACCCATCGGTAAAACAGGCATTGGTCGATACTGCAGATCCGTTTGGCAGGTGTCACGTTTGTTAGTCACGTGAAGGAATAAATGTACTGTTTAGGTTTTCGACACGGGTTTTTCGTGTGTATGAATAAATAGAGCAATGGATGTATCGTTTAGGTCAGATTCGTTGTAGATATACCGTTTGTAGTGGTCTTGTAAATAACATTGAAGTAGAAATAACAATAACTTCGAACGAAGCATGTAAATATAAGAATTTATAATGAATAATATAGTTTTTACTTCGAAATAAAGAACTAATATAGATTTAACGCAATGTATAGTTATATAGTTATAAGTGCCCATCGTCAAAAAGTTTGTGTACCAAGGTTGACTTAATAGGAATTAAATAGTACAGTATAGTAAAGCAAATAGACCGTTTTCCATTCTGAAAAATTCATTTCATTTTTTTTTTTTTGCAGCAGTCAGCAACATTCGGTTACAAAATTTTGAACTGTTGGGCTGATATAAAAATTCTTGCTACGAAATATATAGGCTGATGCGATAATGATTTTCGACTAGTTTGACCCCTTGATCTCTGAAACCAATTCTTAGCTGAACTTAAAATGTTTTGCGATTGATATCTAGTCATGAGATATTATTTGGCACGCAATTCAGTTTCGAAAAATGAGAAAAAATAGCAATTTCAAGGTCACTCTTTTCAATATCAGTAAGCAACGTGTGAAATTAAAACGCGAATGAAATATATGCGAATAAAACTTTGTAAAAATGTTTGCAACGATATTATTATACTTCTTGATTTGCTATTTCAGTTAGACCTTAGTCAAATAGAGTCGACTCTTTACATACACTGGACAGTTTATTTTTGTGTACAAGTTGAGTAACACTACCGAGCGTTGTTTTCTATCGAAGGAGTTCTCGATAGCGATACGTTATCGCACTCTTTAAAATGATTGAGATTGTCATGAATTCGTTACAGTATTCCAACAAATTCGCGAATCACATCGGAACTTTCTTTTCGGTTCTATGGAATCCTCAGATTATTCTAATTGCAAATAAAAATTATTTTTGAGAACTACAAAAAAAAAAAAAAAACATGTAACTACACAATCGATCTTTTATACCATGTGACGGAACATTTATTTTTATTCCTAAAAACAAAGCGTTTATTCAGAAACTTTATATGATTAAGTCTGGCAGAAACCCACGAGACATTCTTTTATACGAAGTGACTTTGATCATTACTGTTCAATTAAGTCTTGTTCAGAAAATGTACAATTCCTCGAAAGAGTTAATAGCATGACGGAGCAAGGTCTAGATTGTACATTGTGCAAATTATGATTTCAATTCTAGAGTTATAATTTGTTATAATTCTGTTTTGTTTGGTTCTGATTTGCATCCAATAATAGTGTAAAAACATAGACAGTTTCATTCTTTCGCAACTCGTTTTAAAGATAAATGAGAATAGTGAAAATATGAAAATATGTATTGGTACAGCGTGCGTTAAAGCGTAAAAATATTTGTAACTATTGAAAAAAATTGCTTCTATGTATTTTCGTACGTATGGATCCCTATTTGCAATATTTTACATTACTACGGGCACGAAATTGTTATCACGAAACGTTTTACGCGTAAACAAAACCATTGGCACAGTTTTAATAACGATACAATTTAATATTTCGTAGCAAACCTTTTTAGTATCTCCAATTTATCAATTTTTATTAATTAAGTACTTTCTTAGGTACTCTATAATTGTCGGTTTCTTCAAATTTGGAAAAATCGGTATATCGTTCTGGAGTGTAAGTGGTCAAGTTCAAGTGGCATTATCGGTACCATTTAGTTTACGGGACACGATCATAAATTCCCATCGGTGAAGTCATTTCTCAGAATTAGGCACCTCAATTAGCGGAGAACTTTTCACGTCCTCTTCGTCCTAGAGGAGTCGATAAATCTTGAGCTTTACAAGCTGAATTTCAAAGTAAACCTACATTCTCAGCTTGCAATAGAATCAATTTATCTGTTTTGGGAATTCTGAACTCTTTTTCCTCTAAAATCTACAAAATTCTTTGGCAAAGATGAGTATTCCAAGTTACTCTTCTAAATCTTGAGCTTTAAAAGCTGAATTTCAAAGTGAACCTACATGCTCAGCTTGCAATAGAATCAATTTATCTGTTTGGGAATTCTGAACTCTTTTTCCTCTAAAATCTACAAAATTCTTTGGCAAAGATGAGTATTCTAAGTTACTCTTCTAAATCTTGAGCTTTACAAGCTGAATTTCAAAGTAAATCTACATGCTTAGCTTGCAATAGAATCAATTTATCTGTTTGGGAATTCTGAACTCTTTTTCCTTTAAAATCTACAAAATTCTTTGCCAAAGACGAGTATTCCAAGTTACTCGAACAATAACACAGTTCTCTGGAAGTTAATTAAGGATGCTGACGTAGTATCAATTTAATCCTGCAACGCATTTTGCACACATACGTGGCCCGAGTATTTGACGAAATATATGTGTGCCTCTTTTGCAGTGACGGTGCAAACGAAGCTAATAATAGCAAAATCGCTTGGGTTAATGGTATTCCCCACATCAGCTTGCCCCTGAATATCGTAATGCATGTACACTTTGTAACGTAGGCGTTTTGGTGTGCGAATCGAGTCAAATGTGCGAATCGAGTCAACGGTGAACGTGAAATTATTAAATAATATCGCAATTAAATTCCCTTTGCTAGGGGAATCAGAATATCTAGGGGATTTCAAGTAACTTATTTCTTCTATCAGGTGGCCGTAGACAGAAATAGATCGATATATTTTCTTCAATATCTGAGAAATGATTTACAAATTTCAAACGGGTTGAAGATTCTTGTTCGCCGCGAGGAATTAGTTCATTGTGAAATCACGATAATTCACGACGAGCTGGGAAACTGATTTAAACACAATACCGATCGCGTGGCTGGTTGGTACATAGATTCTCACGAGAATTTCCGCGTCTCGTTCGTCAGAAACGAGAAAAGCTCTCGTAATTCTGAAAAAATTTTTTTTCGAAATTCTGGATCGAAATGCCGCCTTAAATCTTCTCTCGGGGAGTTTTCAGGTATTTATCAGCCTCGTTATTCCATAAAAATGGTCTTCGCGATTTCAAAGTTTCGACAATTAGATTCAATTTGCGATATGCTCGATCCGCTGATAATGTTTCGTTTAATTTACCATTTCTTCGGCGGTTCGTTTATCTTAACGTAAAAAATAGCACTGAATAACAGCCTTTCCATTTCCTAAGTGGACCATTGCCAAGGGCACATTATCCTGAAGCATTATCCATAGTGAGTCACGCAAACTCGTGAATGTTCTCACCTCTCGTTCGATCGCGGGTAGGAAAATTCTGTGTTCGAACAGCGAACACGTTACGAGATATTTAGAAACAAAACGTGTCCCGATTCTATATCTTTACGGTCCTTTTTCGCGTTTAGGAAGAAGAGAATATGTTGTCAAAATAGAATCACCTGGCTCGGTGTTAAACAAATTTAAGAAAATGCGATATAGCTCGTCTGGTTCGCGCGACATGCAATTTGTTTGCATTTTCTAAAACATTTCATTTTACAAACATTCGGATAAGGTGCGCATAATGACAATATTTGAGTTACGATCTTGTACATAGAGCATGTAATCGTGGACAACAGAAAAGGAATTAACTTCCCATTCAGTTTGCGAGTTTCATTTTCACCGATCTTCAGAGTTACACCATTTATTTGTGTCTCTATAATAAACGTTGTATCGTTTGAAAAAATATAATTAGAAGAAATTATTTTACGTTCGTTTTGTACGTTAATTGGAAAGACGATGACGTTTATTTCCCCCAAAGGGGAAACAAAGTCTAATGCACGAGCCTCGTTGTTTTTTTTTCACCGTTCTCCTAGTTAGACCGCGTATCTGTTCATTGATTAGGCGAACGAGGCGTGGTGGACGCGCGTTTTTCCTCGATCGTATGTCATTTTTATTCATCGCGGTCGAATAATTCAACGCCAGATGATTGACGAGAGCGTGCGCTGCAATCCTCCGCGGAATAGTAGAAATTGCGTGGCAGTTCGATGGAATCGGTACGATACACAAACCGCAAACTGCCGTTTAGGCGACCCGTAGCGCTGGCGATGAAACGACGATAATTGCCGCTACGAGATCTAGAAGTGTGTCACGGTAGCGCGCGATGGGAGAGAAAAAAAAAAAAAAATTCGAACGCGTAACTTCGGGAAATTTTAAATATCGACGGTCGCTCGGTGATCAAAACCGATGGCCCCCGAAGATAGACGTCCGATAAAAGTTTCCTGAAACGTGTAGAAATCGAACAGCTTTTCCATCGTTGTTTATCCAGCCGCGTACGGACCCGGTAATTAAAGATTTAAGTTCGAACAGCGATTTTATACGTGGCATTAAAAATAAAAATATTTGTTTCGATGTAGCGAAAGAAAATTTATATTGTAGTGCGGAGAAATGAAATCTTAATGGATCGTTTACTTTTCGATAAGATAACGATCCAAAGAACACGATATCGAAGGTAAAAGCGCGGTTATTATGTAATGTCGTTAAACGATTTTGTAAGCTCCTGTAATTTTCAAATTAGTAATCGTATCGAATATCTACGATATGATATAAAATGACGATCTATTGTGGAGAGTGAGATATAAAATGTGCAATGAAATATACGAATAGAACGAAAAGGTTCGTTAATACTCTTGGTTTTGTGCATAATTTTGAAAGATTTTCGAGAATTGAAGTTTGGAGATATTTGAGAATAAATAGGCACCGTCGACATTATAGAAATGGGTGTTTCTGAACCGGTGCTCATGATTTTCTTAATAACATTTTTTTTTTTTCTAATTTATTGTATCGTAATAAATTGTTACTAATAACACGTAGTATAATATAGAAAATAAGGCTTCCCGCGAACAGTAGACTGTTGTAATCAATGCACGGATTAGGCTACTCTTGCAGCGGTTGCAGACTATCTAGTTGGAAATTCGAAAACAATTTGTAGTTAGAGAGTAGTAGTGAGAAGTAATGAATTCGTAATCACAAACACGTAAAATTTGATTAACTTTGAATTTTAGGATTGTTTTTCCTACGACAATTGAACTACCACCGATATGATGCATAAAGGTCAGAGAGTGATAAAATTTACATAGTACGTTCCGTTCGTTTCATATATAATTTATCCATTATATGTTTCTTTTCCTACGGTGCATTTGTCGTTTAATCAAAAGTGTACTTTAATAATATGAGTCACTGGCGCACAATATCCATTGTACAAGGTCTTATTTTGTTTGATCAGATGGCAAGAGCATTTTTTACAATTAATGTAAGTGGAAATGGGTTGTGACACATGAAAAGCCACATCGAAAATTTTATAATTGGTTTCAATTATAACATTTCTCAATATCGTATTTTCAATTTTCTACGTCGTTGTTGAATATAGAAAATGCAAAGACAGTAAAAATACAGGGTGTTCGGCTACCCCTGGGAAAAATTTTAATGGGGGATTCTAGATGCCAAAATAAGACGAAAATCAAGAATACCAATTTGTTGATGGAGGCTTCGTTAAAAAGTTATTAACGTTTGAAGTTCCGCCCGTACTGAATTTTTTTTCGAGAATGCGCAGGATTTCGGGGTTATGTCTATTCACCAAAAATGATTGTAATTGACCCCCGCTACCGAAAATAATTTTTCCAGAACGATTTGAAATTGTTTTTTCCGTCGAAAAATTTCACACCTTCTGGAATTTTTTTCTAAAAAGTGGGTAGGATTTCGAGGGTATGTCTATTCATAAAAAATGATTGTAATTGACCCCCGCAACCGAAAATAAGTTTTCCAGAACGATTTGAAATATTTTAATTTAATTGTTAATAACTTTTTAACAAAGCCACCATCAACAAATTGGTATTCTTGATTTTCGTCTTATTTTGGCCTCTAGAATCCCTCATTAAAATTTTTCCCAGGGGTGCCAGGTTAGCTTCGTGTTTGTTTTAAATTAAGTGGTTCAAGAGGAAGACTGTCATGAAGAAAACTTTTGTCAAATAATATTTACTTGAACTATTCTTTTGTGTAGGTGGATATGGTTATACGAGCAAAGTAGCTAGATCTGAAAAACTATTGTTAAGAATGGTTTTTAAACTGTATCGCGGTCTTTGAAACATGAAAAATTATATTTGTAATTTCATAATGACTTCGTTTTAAATTCAATAAGAATCAATCAGCATTAGAAGTTATATAGATTACATTAAAACAATGAAGGAATTGCTTATCAATGCAGGCAGATAGAGAATCCTTGATCGAGCATAATTATCTCACAGTTTACCTTGAAACGAAGTGATCAACGTAGAGTGAAACAATTCTCGTATGCGATGAGTTTCATTGCCCTCTTGTGCATATAACGATTCCACTTAATTACGTAACTCTGGATTAACCAATGATAACTTCGATTATGGAATACTATTTCGTACAACACTGAATGCAATCAGTACAGAATCTCTAGAACGATATCGTAATAATCCGTATCTCTGAGTCGAGTTTACTTAAGGACTGACTTAAAATCGTCGTCTCTGTTGCACTGAATCAACTATCGATCAACTGCAGATCGAGATAAGATGAATTTTATTCGAATAATAATAATACTTTAACTATTGTTTGGAGGAGCGTGGCAAAGTTTAAAAATTGCTGTTAACAGTAGTGCAAAATTTTTGTAAATCGCATCAGGATTAATTAAAAATAAATCATTTATATTTTAAGGTTGTAATTTTAGGATCTTAAGTCTCCAGAAAATACAATTGATTGTATTTTAAATAAACTAGAGTATGTGTTTAGAATTTGGAGCGTCGAAGGAAACAACGTTAACTGCGGTTTTAGTAAATATCCAATATTGACCAATTAAGTTCAATATATTGATCGCGAGGAAAGGTACGATTCGCTTTAATGCGAATGTGCATTATCTATGACGGCTCATGCAACGATAATGTTAAACGGCAGGAATATTACGCAGCGTCATTATTCAAGATAAGTCTCGCATTGCTCATATCGACAATTATATTCCTTCAAGGTGCATCCATCGTTTACTTAATATCGTCATTTTTATTTTCTGCAATGTGCAAGTAATATCAACGGTTATACAGCGGATTAGAATTAAATATATACTAAAAATATAATTTCAACTGCTCGAAACTTGTTGGTTAAACTTGTAATTGAAGTCTTTATGAGATACGTGGAAATTTTGTTCTTTCGTGTGGGAAATGGTGATAAAATGAACGACGTTAAAGTAATGTGGAATAACAAACGTTGAAATTAAAAATAAATGTGTAACAGTTAGCAATGTATTTTTGTAATTATCTACGCAAGCCACTCTTTAAATGAAAATTATATTCTGAGGAGGGCAGTGAGTTAATGGTACGGGGTATAATTGTTTTGTATGCACATAATGTAATAGGTAGTCAATAAAATTAACAAACTGCAACTGTTTATTCGTCTCTGTTTCCACATTTTATTTAATCCTTCGATTCGTATTGTATGCATACCGAATAAAATAAAGACGTATTATTATTTTTCTAGGGCGAGCCAGTATTGTTAACCGGAAGTGGCCAAGCAATTGCTGACAAAACAAATAGTTTGACGGCGGGTCCACATGGTCCCTTGTTGATCCAGGATTATGTCTTTCTCAACGAACTGTCGCATTTCGACAGAGAAAGGATTCCGGAGCGTGTTGTACACGCGAAAGGAGCTGGTTAGTTAATTTGTCGCGTTCTAAGCGTATCGAAGTATGTTAAAGGATTTTTTGCAGTGCGGATTGTCACTCGACGTTGAGATTTTTCACGTTGCAAATGGAAAATACCGAATACGAGAATAGTTGAATGAGTAACAGGATAAACGACTGCTGCTGAAATATTCTTTAACAATCAATAGGCATACGTTTATTACAGGGATGCCCGCTAATAATTCTAAAAGCATATAAATCCTCGCTTTAATATTATCTGAATCAGAACGTTCGTCTCTCTCATTACGACATACCAAAATTGGAATAATCAGTATATATTATGAAATCCAATAATCTTCTTTATTGATTTAAAGATTTATCTTGAGTACAGAACAAAAGAAAAATATTATGTGGGTCGAGTAGCTCAGGCTTTATTTTTCAAATTATTTACATACACGATGACTCAGGAGCTACTACAGTTTGGCCCAATTTCATATTTGTTATCTACTTATCACTGTTGCAAATTCTCTTCTATGCAATCGGTTCTCAGTCAACTTTGTATACAATAATTTCTTAAGAAATAATCCTCTAGAAATTATAAATAAAAATAGATGTATTCGACAACAAATAAAGAAATTTTTTTTTTGCTCAAGCTCCAACATTTACCTCTTGGTTTCTAACCATTCTTGACTTTACTATATATTTTCTGTCTTTCGATTGCAGGTGCATTTGGTTATTTCGAAGTTACCCATGATATCTCCAAGTATACTAAGGCGAAGGTTTTGACCAGCATTGGTAAAAAAACGCCCATCGCCGTGAGATTCTCCGCCGTAAGCGGTGAAAGCGGTTCGACAGATACGGTCAGGTAATTAGAAATAAAATTTTGCAAAAAGTGCATCGCACGCTATCCTAGAATATATTTACAGAGCGTGAACTCTTTGTTCAGTCTTGATACAAGCGGTTGGGCAAATTTTATTTGAACGTTTCGACGCGAATACGAGTCATCTTTTACTTAAGGATGAAAAATAATAAGAAAATATGTATAAATTACAGAATGAAAGATAAAATCGTCGGTTGTACAGTTTTCATGCGATACTCGTACATAATAATTTCATATGTATATTTGTCATTGTACAGTGTTGTGGCAATCTAATAACATTATAATCACGAGCTCGACAGAATTAATTAAAATTAAATTTTATCAAGTTTTGTTCTTTTAATATACATATTCGCCTATTGTTTTCTATCCACGATGAATTTCTCGATTAATTAAAAGTCAATTTTCAAATAAATATAGGTCGCGAGCGGACATTGCAGACACGATTAAAACACGTGTTTAATGTTCGTACACGCGCGATCCATTGACCGAACGTAATTGCAAAAATAGGTATCCATTGTACAACAAGCTTTATTTTGTTTGCTCAGATGGCAATAGGAACGTTTGACTGTACATTCTGCCCGCTATAGATGCATTTCGAACAAAGTTATTACCGTTAATGCAAGTGCAAACAGATGGATTATGACACATGAAGTGTCCACTCGAAGATAATAATTCTATCTAACGTTCATCCGCGTGGATAAAAGTGTTGTTTGTCGACAATTTCTATTTTCTTAATATCTATTTGAATGCACGGTGTTACGTTTGATGTTACAAAAAATAATTTACTCGAATCGTGAAATTCTTCTGTACTCGTTGCGTCAATGTTGCTTAAACGAAATTTGTTATACCGGACCAGATAGTTAAGCGTGGACCACGAAGAGAACGCAAATGAAGTAGTTTGGGACTCGAACCGGGCCAGCGACGTAAATGTTGTTCGTTCAGTGAACCAGATAAATGAAAATGCGCTTCGTCGCTCGTTAACAGGACAATTTCATCCCTCAACGAGTTAAGAAAGTTCTCAGAGGAAGTCATGCGATTTGCTTTGTCACGCTCGCTTAGCTCCTGCACCGCCACCATTTTATAAGGACGAGAGTTCAAATCCTTACGCTGAATTCTTCTTATACCGCTACGGGATAAACGAAGAGCGGTAAAATGTTTTCCAGTTGAGCGCTCCCCGGCTCCTTATCATAATCTGTGACTCGCTTTCTCGATGTTTAGGATTCTCACGGTAACCTGGTGGTTTCGTTTCCCGCAGAAACGATTGATCTGGATCTTCGTAACCGCGACATTATCGTATTCACGGCATCTAAGTGGCGTGAAATATCGAAACGACGACGGACCAGTGTCGGTCAAAGAATCGCAGCCAGCAGAGCAACGCTATTTTAGCTCTTCATAAACTGGATTTAATTTATTTTCATCTATCCAGGCGTCTCGAATTTTTAAAAATATTTCACGATCAACTTTCTAAACGAGTCACTTATTGATTAAAAAGCTAGCGAAACGTTTCTTTAATCGAGCTAAGAACTTCTTTTCAGTTTTAGTTTTACAACAAGTACAGATCGTGAATTCTGTCTCTGCCCTAACGATCACATGGTTTTACGCGGTCACGACTTCCCTTCGTTATGCCCTTTAACCATTAATTCGGTATTACTTCTGTCTCGATAAATTTCATTTGAGCATTTTCTGGTACGGTGACTGTTCCCGGTGTCACACGAAGTGCCAAAAGCCTCGCGTCACTCGTGATCGAACAAATGTCGGCTCAATTGGAGGCAAACTACTCGATTCGCTTGTCACAGTTTCCGACTGTTCAGGGAAACGAACGTAGTTTGATTTCGGAAGCTGGCATTCCCAAAGTCGTAGTTTTGATTCGGAGTCGACTATGCATTCGTACGTTTCGTGTATTGAAAGTTTGGAACATTCGAACGTAACGTTCGATTTAAATTACGATGGTGAAATTCAGAAAAATTCGGCGATACACAGTGGCGGACAAAACTTTAGGACGACTGCGTTCTTGATAAATTATTAAACATTTATGTTTTTAAAAATTTAATATACAGGGTGGTCGGCTACCCCTGGGAAAAATTTTAATGGGAGATTCTAGAGGCCAAAATAAGACGAAAATCAAGAATATTAATTTGTTGATTGAGGCTTCGTTAAAAAGTTATTAAAAAATTGAATTAAAAAATTTCAAATCATTCACGGAAAAATTATTTTCGGCCGTAGGGGGCAATTACAACCATTTTTGGTTAATAGACATAACCCCGAAATCCTACGAATTCCTCTTATTTTGGCCTCTAGAATCTCCCATTAAAATTTTTCCCAGGTTTGGCGGAACACCATGTATCATGTTAATTGTACTTATTATTATTCGTTCGAATCACCACCGTGTTCAAACGTTCTTCTTAAACTAATGTCGATTACAAATAGAGTACGAGCGTGATTATATATAAAAAAAGGTGGTCGTCAGAAAGCAGGTGTTCATTTTTGCGTCTCATTGAATCCAAGTCCTCGCCTCGATGTAAAATTCGAACAGTATACGAGCACCTTTGTAAGAGTAATCGAGGTTCCTCGTATTTTGCGTCGTTGGCCACTCGAGAATGACGGAAACCCTCGGTTCGTTGTTCCTTGCGTACGAATTAGCCGACTTAGTGGCACGGAAACGCGCGAAATAACGTACCGGAAATGCAAACGAGCGCACCACCTCGCGATCGATCGTCCAGGGGCGTGGAAAAGTTTCTTTTTCGAAACCTCCGTCGGCGAAACAATTTCCCAATGAATCACACGATTGCGAATTTTTTATCTCGCGTTGCGTTTTAACAAATGACTCAATTCGTTGTTTCGCCATCGTGCAGTTGCATCGGGAGAAAAGTATTTATCACCGTTGAAACGGGTGGTACCTTCGTCCTTTGATATTAATTTGGTTCGTTACGCTTGCAGGGACCCCCGTGGTTTCGCTGTTAAATTCTACACCGAGGAGGGTATCTGGGACTTGGTGGGCAACAACACGCCGATCTTCTTCATCAAGGATCCACTGATGTTCCCCAGTTTCGTTCACACTCAGAAGAGAAACCCTGTCACCCATACAAAGGTGTGACAACGATTAGTATAAACGATTGGTAATCGTTGTTAATACACGAAATATCGAATACTGAATCAATGTTGCTAAACTTCGATCGAGTCTACTATTCGCTTTACAAAGGTATACCGTTTTTCTCGCCGAAGGTCGCGTGATCGCGCGAACAACACCATTATCGTTCCGTAGTCGCGATGCTGGATACTGTTTTGCTCGTGCCCTAATTAGAGCCGCTCTAAACGACGTGCTAATCGAATTGTTTTCCACAGGACAGCGACATGTTCTGGGACTTCCTTTCACTGAGACCGGAGTCGACGCACCAGGTCATGTTCCTGTTCTCGGACCGCGGTATTCCCGATGGTCATCGCCACATGGACGGTTTCGGTTCGCACACGTTCAAGCTCGTGAACGCCCAGAACGAAATACATTATTGTAAATTTATCTACAAGGTACGATTTTTGGTTCCATAGCGTACAATCGTCGTTTTCGAAAATTTTCGCTTCCCGTGACGTTCACAGTCGTGGACGTATACTCGCGAACAATATATTTGTGGTAACATTGGTTTTACCAGAAATATTTCGGTATGTCGGTTCTTAGTTTTGCAATGCCAAAAATTCTAAAGAAATAGTGTAAAAATGAATTTTAATCGTGTTTGTAAGTATCTGTCCAACTGAGCTTAGAGTGTCGGCTAAGAAGCAGAAGTGTTATTGTTTTTTTATATTTTTGAATCAGTGATTATTCCTTTACGCAGACCGACCAAGGAATCAAGAATATTCCAGTCGAAAAAGCGACACAATTGAGCGGTACGGATCCTGATTACTCCCTCAAGGATCTTTATAATGCAATCGCGTCTGGCAAGTTTCCGTCCTGGACGTTCTACATTCAAATTATGACTCCCAGCCAAGCAAAGACCTTCAGATGGAATCCATTCGACGTGACCAAGGTAACGAATCGAAGTTCAACGGCCGCTAGCTTCGACGACGAAGAAACTGGAGCTGTTGACTGGAATAATGATATTTAAATTTTATACGCATAATATAAAGTACAAGTTCAACAAAGAAAATCAATGTTGAATCGTTCAGTAACGATTCGATCAATGCGTTTTGTTTATAGAGACGTTTTCGGATCGTCTGTTAGCAATAAGCTACTGCTTGTTTCGGTTATAAATGTTTCATTTCGATTTCGAATCGACCCCTTAATTTAAAATTCAAATGAAACAGAATTTTGAATCGAACAATGTTTTGCGTATGGAAATACTAAGGTCCCGTTTTAATCCAAGTCGAAAAGAATTAAATTTTAATAAAGGAAGTCGTTTCAAATTGAATAGAATTGTGATTACAGAAATGTGGAGATCTTGTTTAAACAATAACTACTAGACCTTGGAATCGAAGATATTTTAATTCTAATTTGAATGGAAGTCTCTGAAGTCGCGTGAGAGCGTGCCATGATTAAAGTGTTTCGTTCTGCGTTGAACAGATCTGGCCGCACAAGGAATTCCCGCTCATCCCTGTTGGTAAGCTGGTGTTGGACCGAAATCCTGACAATTACTTCGCTGACGTGGAACAGCTGGGCTTCGATCCGGCTCATATGGTGCCTGGCATTGAACCGAGCCCTGACAAACTGCTGCAGGGTCGTCTGTTCGCTTACGGTGACACTCAAAGATATCGTCTAGGTCCGAATTATCTCAAACTTCCAGTTAACTGCCCATTCAAGGTAATTTACCAAGCTTTGTCTCCGTACTTACATACGACCATCGACCCGCCAAAGCAGTAAAATTTTCAGTTTTCGTTAATACATATATATATTAGTTCGTTACGGTACTAATTTAGTTTTAAACGAGAGGCAACGCGTTAAATCGAGTCAAGTATGCAATAAATTCGTTAGGTTTATTTAAAAGGAAACTGAATCTAATTAAAGAGCAATTTCAAGGGTAATTTAAACCGTGAACCGTGGTCGCGAATCAGTGGAAATCTGTGAAAAGTAATAACCGTAGATTAAAATAATTATGCAGGCAGTAACGAGCACGAGCAAGAAAAAATATAATGATAATAAATTAACATAATACTAACCGAAATTACTATTTGAGAAATGGGAAGGATAAATTTACATAACGTACAATACCATACGAGATAACGATAAGGTATTGTTTGTTGGAGGGAGCACTAATCCGTCGACTTGCCTTGTATTTTTCTAATAGAATACAAAATTTAAAGTTGCATCCATTTTTATAAAGCTCATGTATCAAGGATGATTCGAAGCCAAGAGTCAAGAACGTTTTACAATTAGTTTCTTTAATATATAACTTTAAGCATAAGATATAGCGAGAGTAAACGAAAACCAGCCAAGTCTTTCTTAAACGCAAGTAGGAATAATTGATCAATAACTTCGTTGACTTTCAGAAATTTATGGTGTCCAACTACCAACGGGATGGCGACATGTCAGTGTACAATCAAAACGGCGCGCCGAATTACTATCCCAACAGTTTCAAAGGTCCGAAAGAATGCCCGGCAGTGCGTTCTCCAAGTTATCCTATGAGCGGCGACGTGGATCGCTTCCAGCCTGTAAACGAAGACGATTTCGGACAGGTTACCACTTTCTGGAGAGACATTCTAAACTCCGACGAGAAGTCAAGACTGGTGAAGAATTTGGCAGATAATCTTAGCCACGCGTCGCCGTTCATCGTCGAAAGAGCGGTGAAGAACTTCACCGCGGTGGACGTAGACCTTGGCAAAAGATTGACGGAATGCCTCAAGGAATCCGGTGTTAATATCAGTGCTTTAGGCCAATCAGCCAATTTGTGAAGAGTGATACGCGAAACGTATCCTTACTTTTAATTATATTCACCATTATTTTACTATTATTTCTATACACTATGTAATTATTATTATTGTGCACGAATAAAGAACATATTATTATCATTATTATTTTCGTTAGAGATCGTCTTTAGCTATTTATTTAATATCGTTACGATTGATTTTCCATTTACCTTCTCCGTTATGACGAGTAGAATGCAGTAAAATAAATATTTTCCCTGGTTAGGTATTGCATAGATTATGAGCGAACTCGTTACATTGTCACTCGGTCGAAACAAATACCATTACATAATTCAAGATGATCTTGCTTCGAATTTTTCGAAATTATTATTACGATCAGAATGCGTACTATAAAGTTATTACTAGACTGCGGATCTTTATGCAAATTCACATTTTTATTAATAGAATTAATGAAACGGAAGCTTCGCAGAGGGCTGTCTCAATCCCTAAATATAATAATTCGTATCTTACTTTAAGTATTTCTTATATTTTTGCATATTAAATGCATTCTGTAGTTTTTTGAGGATTAAAATTTCCCATAAATGCATAAACATCCGCAGTAATAACTTATTACAAAGTAATTTAATGCAAGAATTATCTCGTTTCGAGTCTTTAAAAATGTCGTGAGGTAACCTATCGGGTTATCTTCGATGGGGAATTTACGTCATCGTACAAGGTGAATCCCGATGGCATTCTAGATAAAATTTTGATTATGAAAAATAAGAGTCTGTTTCTAACTGTCTCGAATGTAGTTATTGGAGCAAGTTTACTCAAAATCTCATTATGAGAATATATTTAGAGCTTAAACACGAAGTCGCACGCTGGGTGTTACGCTTCGTATTACTAATTTTCTCTATGGTGCATGTTCTATATTATTTGTAGGTCGTCAGAGTATCATTTCGGCATGTTTCCAATATTATTTTAAAAAATAGTAAACCCGTAACTTTACTACAAAGTTGACGCAATTTATTATAACTATATAATTTTAAGTGAATATTCACTTCGTAGAATCGGTCACTTTTTTTATAACGATATTTCGTAACAAGTAGATGTATCCATGATATTCTTTACTTCTTTTGTATTTTAAATTTAAATCGATTATGAGGTTTAACTTTAACAACTGTTTTTCCATTTCTCTTATCTTCAATGATTAAAATTACGATATCGATATTCGTATCATTTCGTCTGTACATAACATCTGATTAGAAGAAATACACGTGTCCCCACCATTTCAAAGATAATTTTATGCTGTATATAAAAACCACCAATTAGTGAAAAATTCAGTTTATTATTTCAGATTGACCAGTCTTTGACTTGTTCGATACAAAATGAAAATCCAGATTCTCGTCGCCTTTTTGCTCGTAGCAGTCGTTGCTACCATGGCTGCTCCCAATCAGGTGGCCGAAGGTTAGTACAAAAAATAAAAATAGATTAATTTTAATCCATGCTTAAGATTTAAATTGTTCGTAGCTCTTAGTCGTCGTATGTAAAAGACAGACCGTACTAAATAGCTGCGTAAATTTTAGAGAAAGAAATTGACGCTGTGGAAGTTGCTGCTTTGGGAGAAAATGGTGATCTCGAGAGAGGATTCACCTGCAGCATTGGAGATTGGGCTTGCTCTGCCCACTGTCGTGGTATTGGCAAGGAAGGTGGCACCTGCATAAAGGGTACCTGCACCTGCTACGCCTAGGTATGCGATTTTAAAAATTTAATCTTCTCGGTGTTGCCAATCTAATTTTTTAACCCAAGGTTTCCACCATTTTAGTCGATCCAGTGAAATCTTTTAATTACATTTGTAACAGAGCTACTAGAAAACTGTATATTTTCAACATTTGTTTATCCTTAGGACGAGCAGAATAATAATCACAAGTTTTTGTACCTTTTTCAATTAAGCTATGGGTATTGCAATAATTAAAAAAAAAGTCCAAGAAATTTATGAATATGTAAATTAATGACCATTATTTTTCTGTTTTCAGAGTTAATGCTAATAGCTGGTTCAAGCAGTTCGAGTATACATGGAATCCGACGATACAATTTTTTGTGTAATGTGACTTAATCTTTAAAACATGTAATGTAAATGTATATGAATAAACAAGCATGGTAAAAGACTCTGATTTACAAAAAAATATATTTTGTAGATGTTAATTAAGAAACAATCACTCCCTATTATGGACGTTTCCATAAATATATTTCTATACGTTTTTGGTGCAATTAGCAGTCTGGAAAAGTTTCGCTAATGTCTCTCTGAATATCACCACGGTCGAGTTTTGACAGGAGAAAGCACTAATTAAACGACGATAGTATTCACGCGTTCATATGCGCGATGAAAAATTTTTTTAACGATACTTCAACCGGATTGTCAGTTCTTTACAGTAGTATATTGTGTATATAGCGATATTGATATGGATGCAAATAACACGTTTGCCGGGAAAACCACTATGAAAACGACGGGGAAGCACCGCAACCTGTCATACCGTAAAGTGGGAAAAGCAGCATACAAAAGAAGTCAGTCTGTTTACTCCCGGAAATTCCGTGTTCGTATTTTTGACAGAACGATTGGGAATATTGAAGAGCATAGCTCTTTTTTTTATTAATTAAGCAGATACTTCTAAGGCTGTGTGTTTCTAAACTGTACTCCATAGGATTGACCATTTTTAAAATAGATATGCTTCAAAATCTCGATCGTACAATATTTTGTAACGAGTACATTGCGTCAGGCAAGCTTCCAGAATATTCGATTTTCGATTGAAGAGCATAGCTCTTTTTTTTATTAATTAAGCAGATACTTCTAAGGCTGTGTGTTTCTAAACTGTACTCCATAGGATTGACCATTTTTAAAATAGATATGCTTCAAAATCTCGATCGTACAATATTTTGTAACGAGTACATTGCGTCAGGCAAGCTTCCAGAATATTCGATTTTCGATTGAAGAGCATAGCTCTTTTTTTTATTAATTAAGCAGATACTTCTAAGGCTGTGTGTTTCTAAACTGTACTCCATAGGATTGACCATTTTTAAAATAGATATGCTTCAAAATCTCGATCGTACAATATTTTGTAACGAGTACATTGCGTCAGGCAAGCTTTCAGAATATTCGATTTTCGTTTACTGATAAGTTGTATCTGTGATATTTTTTCCTCCTTTTGAATTTAGATCGATTATAAGGTTTAGCTTTAACATGTATTTTTCCATATCTCGATCGATTAAAATCACGGTATTATTCGTATTATTCGTATTATTTCATTGTCACCTATCAGAATTTTCGTTTCTGAGCGAATGTCATAGTTGGTGTAAAATGTACAGAAGAATTGGAAAACAGACTTTACGGACGATCGTTAATTTTTTTATCAGGCCCAACATTTTGCGTTAAAAGTTTTGTGAAACGTTAAAAAATAATATCGAGATGCTGTGATTCATCGTTGCTATCTTTCTCTTACTTCGAACGATCGTATCGTGTCGGAAAATTATTGAAACTTCAGTGTGCGATATTGATGTAAATTATTTTTACTGATTTGCTCGAACGAATTCCATTGAACATAGACATAATTACGGTGGCTTCTTCTCGAATATCACGCATGGTCTATGAATAGGTACATATTAAATCAACCGAGTGGTATTTTCGTAAAGCGCAGTAATGATTCAGAAAACGATAAATCAAGAGTGGAGATCTATTTATATATTGATAAGTGGCAACATGTGTATCAGCAGGCGCGATATGTGTTCAGGATTTAACATCTGATCGAAAGAAATACTGTGATCGTTATCATACCGTGAACTGCGTTGTGTTGTTGCGTTTGCTCAAATATTTTTAGCTAGAAGTTTTACATTAAGTATATGTTCTTTTGCAATATGCGCTTTACTTTCTCGTTATCTGTTCTATTGTATGAATGACTGGTACTCGACTGATAATCGCTCCTTTTATCAATTCCGCGTATTCTTACATTGCGTAGTATTTGTCTTTCATTGATTTCTCTTCGGTGGATTAAGTGGATAAAGAATGAGATAAACATGCATGCATCACTTCCGTGCAATCTTCGAAATAAAGCAACAATTGCAGAGTACAGATTGGAAATTTTCAATTTACGCTGTCACAACATTTTTCATCTAAATTAGGTCACACGATACAGAGAAACAAAAATATGTACTTAAATACGAAAGGAAACGTCGATGATCTTGAAAAACATATACTTCTTGCAAGGTATTGAACTCTCGATAACATTTAAATTCTATAGAAAATATCTTTTTTGTATCATCACGGTTGAAGATACTTAGATGACCCGGAAGCAGTCATTAATTTTAGGTACTTTCCGACGTGTACAAAAATTGGTATCGGTGTTGACTCTCTTACTAATCTGGCAAACAGAACTGTGAAAAATGCAATCGAAATGAACGATCAAGGAAGACACAGATAATGTAAAGTGACAACATGTGTAACAGCAGGTACGATAAAGATGTTGCAACAACTTATTGCGAGAAATGCACTTGTCCCCGCCCATTGAAAAAATGTCAATATCTCATGATCTGAGGTGTATATAAACACCATAAATCGGTTGTTAATTCAGTTTAAAATTTCAGAGTGACCAGACTCCGAGTCAATCGAAGCAAAATGAAAATCCAAGTTCTCGTCGCCTTCATGATCGTGGCAGTCGTTGCTGCCATGGCTGATCCCAATCAGGTGGCCGAAGGTTAGTACGCATTATTAACTAAAAATAAATAGAAATAGTACTCGTTGAATGAAAAGGTTTTCGAAGAACGATTTCTAAAGCGTTCCTAGAAAGAAATCAATTTGTGTTTAAATAGGAACCTATCAATAATTTTTTGTTAAAACTTTGTTCGAAAGTTGAACTTTCTGTTCTGACCCAAACTAATATAACTGCGAATATTTTAGAGGCAGAATCACACCCTCTCGAATTGGGTGTTGCGGAACATGATGTCGGCACGCAAGGTGTTTCCTGCATCCTTGGAGATTGGGCTTGCTCTGCCCATTGTCGTGGCATCGGCAGAAAAGGTGGCAGATGCATAAGGGGTACCTGCACTTGCTACAACTAGGTACGCGATCTTTGAAATTTAATCTTCTCGGTGTTGTCAATCTGATTTTGTAATCCAAGATTCCAACTATTGCGTACCCAGTGAAATCTTTTAATTACATCTTCTGCAAGTCACGAATATTGATTTTGAAAAGATTAGAAAGACGATCCCAAGTGTTTGCAACTTTTTGTATCGAACTATGTTTGTACGGAGATTTTCCAATTCCTTTTAATGCAGAATGACAGAAAATCCGAACAATGTACCTAAGTGTTATTTCTTTGTTTTCAGGGCTAATGCTAAATGTTGACCCGGACTGCTCGAATATACATTGAATCTGGCGATAGAATTTTCTGTGTAACTTAATGTAGTATCGACGCTTCGACGCGTTTCCATCGCTGTTTAGTAAGGAGTACACCGAAAATTCAATAAAATATGTAATTCTATAAAAGTATATAATGTTATTAATGTACACTTAAATTCAAAATAAACGATATCGTACCTTGCATCGAAGTTGTATTATTAATTTAGATTAATGTATGTCCATGATACGTGAAATACTAAAATAAAATAAAAGATTGGCTCTGTCAGACCATTCGGTTAAACAAATGATTAATTCAAATTACAATAGTCGACAAATAAAGATATGTGTATATCGTATAATTGGATTCAGCATTTTGAGTTTGCATAATGACGGACAGTGTAGTCATAATATTGTGTCATTACATAGTAGGAAACAATTTTTACGGAGATACAACTGTTCACGCGTCTGTCGGGGACTCCCGGAGTGCAAAAGAACATTTGTATATAAACAGCTTGTGCATCCGATTGAACTATCAGTTTCTCTTCAGTCTTTTCTCAAAGCAGAACAGAAATCTCAACCAATACCAAGATGGTTAAGATTTATTTTCTAGCCGCTTTTCTCTTCGTAGCTGCGGCCGCGGTAATGGCCGCACCCGTAGGTGAGTGTAAAATTTATCATAGACTTTTAAATATTCGAACACTCGCATATTTTCTTTTAATTTTCTATCGAACGTCTGTTCACGGGGGAACCAAAATAACCAAATACGCGCAAAATTCTTTGTAATCTTTGATTTAAGGTTCCAAATCGTAGTGTGAATCGATATAGTGTTGCAAGCATAGAATAATGGAATGGTTAATATTATAAAAATCATTTATCAGTGAATTACCTGTGCTGTGTATATTTCTTTTAACGCATTAAAGAAATTCGCGTAGGTTAAAATATTTGTATAGAAGAATTTGTAACAGATTTAAGTACGTCGTGATATTCGATGATCTAGATGTAAATAGATAAAAATAGTTTAAGTCTTTCGCAATATTGTCGCTTGCATCATAATGTAAACAAACTATATACAACTGCTCGGTGGTTTTCAGAGAGCGAGTTTGAACCGATGGAACTGTCCGCGCCGGAAGAACGCGCTCTCAGACAAAGAAGAGTGACCTGTGACCTTTTATCGATCAAGGGGGTCGCTGAGCATAGTGCTTGCGCTGCCAACTGTCTCAGCATGGGCAAAGCCGGTGGTCGCTGCGAGGATGGTGTCTGTCTTTGTCGCAAGTATGTGATTTTTTCGATTACATTGGTGTATAATAAATGTTGGAATATGGGTATTTCCATATTTCCGAAGAAGACCAACGTAAAATCTTCAGTTCATTAATAATTTTGTATACAATGATACACTTCAAAGCAACGCTTTATTGCGTTTTCTATTCTTTTTTTTTTTTTTTATTTGCACTTTTGGTGCCTCCTTCGAAGACGCCAATTAGGTTCTGTGTCTTACAGTGTTTTTCCTCTTTCAGAACTAACTTCAAGGATCTCTGGGATCAACGTTTTGGTTAAATTCAACCACTCGCGTGCACACCGATATCCAACGATGGAATTTTCTACTTAAAGCGATTAAAGACTGACTTTGGTTTTCAGAGAGTGGCAAGATACTTATTGATAAAATACGTCGTTGTTCATCGAACGTATTCTGGACATCGATTTATTCAAATTCATCTCATTATATTTCAATGCAAGGAACAATATTTTTTTCTGTATATTTGAGTATAAAATAAACGAGATCGCTATTTGCATAGAAAATCTGTACCTAAATGTGTACCCTTGTCCTATGTGTAATTTAGAGAAAGTCGATACACTGTAGTTTGAAAGACGATGGAATTCATTGAAATCGGCGCTCCAAATTGACGTGTCTTTAAAATGCTTGGGATAAATGAATTATAAGATTATTTCTATCAAAGGTGCCAAAACACAACTTTTGGTCGAAATAGTGTTGATACTTATAATTTTTGTTGATAACGTCATCATTTAATACTACTATTTGTCACATTATAATTTGAGAAATGATCGAGGATAAACTTCGTCTATTTTTACCAACAATTTTATTGTTTTATGTCAAGTACATGATCCTTTCCAATACCCACTTCACCTTGTTATTATCCGTTTTTTATTACACGAATTATTAATGCTCGACTGATTATCGTTGATTTTATCAGTTCTATGTATTATAATATTGCGTAATCGTATTTATCTTTCATTGATGTACTAAGATGCGGGGTAAAATAATGTTATCTCGTTAAATTTGTACAACGTCAATACTCGTCGAAAATATACATTTAGATAAATACAATATGTATTTCGTAAAATTGATATATGTATATACCGAGAAATCTTATACACAGGAAGAGGAGATTCGATTATGCGATATGATGTAGTAAACACCTTATGTCATGCCACTTTTCTCGAATTTTCGATTTCCATTTATCGATAAGATTACTGATAATCTTTTTGTTTTTAACGTCACTTTAAATTCCGTTCAGTTACAAGGACAATCTTAGCGACACGTTTATTTATTTAATTTATTTTAAACGTTTACGATCTCGATTTTTATTCTTATATTACTACAAAACTGTGACATCAAATGGTAATGCTTGCTTAACAATGTTTCAATACGAATGATTTACTAAAATTATTTACATTAGTTGAAATGCCAGTAATTACTTTCCCTTGTGGCATTGAGGACGTAAACGTTTTTAATAAGATTATACGCCCTTTTCTCGATAATTATGATTTTTGGACTATTAAAAATAATCAAGCCGACTCCGAAGTTTGATAATAATTCAGCGTTGAATATTAATACAAATAATGCACGTGTTTACAAGTTTTCTGATCACGCTGGAACATAGTTCGTTGAACGCAATAATGCAACTTCTTATGAGTCACGAAACTTGTATAAATAGTAAAATCGTACAAGTAACTATTTCAAAATAAATATTATAGATTAAAGGAACGATAAATGAAGTGCGCAGGTAAAGATATTAAAAGGTGATAATAGACGCAATAAGCGCGATAAAATATCGCGGTTTTACATCTTATTGTTGGAAATGGAACCCCACCTTCCGTTAGAATATCAGTTATCGCGATGTGGGTCTCTATATAAACATCGTAAATCGGTTGAAAATGCAGTTTACAAATTCAGAGTGACCAGACTCCGATTTATACGAAAGCAAAATGAAAATCCAAGTTCTTGTCGCCTTCATGCTCGTAGCAGTCGTTGCTGCCATGGCTGCTCCCAATCAGGTGGCCGAAGGTTAGTACACATTATTAAGTAGAGATAAATAGAAATAGTACTCGTTGAATGAAAAGGTTTTCGAAGAACGATTTCTAAAGCGTTCCTAGAATGAAATCCGTTAATTTTTTATTGACAACATCGTTCGAAAGACGAACTTTCTGTTCTGACCCAAACTGATATAACTGCGAATATTTCAGGGTCAGACTTGCATCCTCTCGAATTGAATGTTGCGGAAAGCGATGTCGACACGCAAGGTGTTTCCTGTATCTTCGGGGACGCTGTTTGCTCTGCCCACTGTCGGGGCGAGGGCAGAAAGGGTGGAAAATGCATAAAGGGTACTTGCACTTGTTACAACTAGGTACGTGATATCTTGGGTTCGATCTTATTTTTAAATTTAATTACGTTTAAGGGCCTCATGTGATTTCCCTCTTTGCAGATTTAATGTAACGAGTTTACATATCAAATCCGGCAATATAATTTTCTGTGTAACGGAACTTATTAGTGGACCAACGACAATTCATTGTTTTTGTTGAAATATGATGACATCGAGCACATCGAAACTACAATAGGCCTTGGTTTATTAAGATTCATCATGTTTAGAAATAAAAAAAAAATGTAATATTATACACATAGATTTATATTAAAAATAAATGATATCGCAGCCATTGTAATTGTGTTTCTATTAATCTATACAGCGTCTGAATGAATGTCGTAAATAGAAAATTGTCCACTAAACTGTTTCCTTTTTTTTTTGCTATTGTATCGAGAAAAGTTTGAGATCGATATTTTGTGCTTGGACAATCGGATATTATTTTGTTCGAAGTTTGTAGTGCTGGTATCTTAAGATGAGAATTAATTTTGTTAGCTCCTGAGTAGAGAACTCCTGTTATCCGTGTACGGTCGCGATCAACGTGTCAAGGAAAGCGCTATGCTTACTTTTGTGAGCGTACAAAGCGTGCATTCCCGGCGAGTGGCTTGCGATCGTGCAGTAAATTGATACGCGGCGCATGGAGACCTTTGACCCCCGGTACAGCGGATGCAAGGTCACTTCGCCTGAAACAATTGGCTGTTGGCGTGTTCTCCATTACTGTCAAATTCGATATCGCTATAAGGTTGATCATACCGTTGACTCCGGAATGCCCAAATTGATTGGGCTTCAAAATTTTCTATACAAATAAAAAAAATGTGGTTTATATTATAAGGTCGCCGACACTGTGTAAAAGAACTATTATAGATATTAACGTACAGAGGTTTTCAGGAATATATGTAAACACTTACGGGCCCGAATCTACGCATAAAAATTACTGACAAAATATTTCTTATCCGAGCACAGTAGCGTAAATATCTCGAAACAAAGAGAATTTGACGGAAATTCACAATCACCGACAGATGTACATAATACGCGCAAAATACGTAAAATGAATGCAAAATGTGCAGCATGTATGCAAATATTAAATAATATGTTCAAAATTGACAGATGTGATCATCGTCGTTGTTGGGACTTCGCGTGTATTCCGCTCTATGCGCATATACTTTGCATATTTACAAATGTCCGGCATATTTTGCATATATTTTACATATATTATGTATATATGAACGAATTTACCATGCTTGATACACCTCTATATATAATGTCAATGTTTAATCGTGAACGTGTCAAACTCCCAACCAGTCAAGATCAAACCGCAGTTCTCTATCATACGCTCGTACAAAGAGTGTGAAAAGTGAGTATACACTTTATAAAAATGAGGTTCGTGCAACATTTGTGGAGTATATTCCTTAAGACCGAGATAGTGAAATGGTAGTACACGACATTTGTGGCATTTCGAACGAACGTGGTGACATTTTTGCGATACACGTTGAGTTAACAATCTCGATTAAGCGAACGTCTATTTTAAAACGATTGGACGACTGTTTTAGAAATTTTACGTCTTACGTTCATTAATAATATTCCTAGCATCCTCGAGAATGGCCTAAAATACTGGCCTTACTTTGGACTAACATGTCAGTGCAGCTGTTTCAAGCTGTTCGTATCAAATCGATCGACGAATCCTTTTGAAACGCAGTTGATTGTTCGAGTAAAACTTTTTATACGTCCAAGGTATAAATTATTGACATTCTTTTGACGTCACGCAAGAAGAGCTATTGATTTAATAAACAATCGCATGCACGATTAGTCAAAAAAGTCTCGACAGACCGCATTAAAATTTATTTTACGACGTATAATTTCAACGATAAATATTATTGAATTTACGTATTAAATTATTAATAACTATGTATTAAAATTATGTGTATTATATTATACTGTGTAAAGTGTTAAACTCTTGTTAAGCTGACAAGGGTCTTACGCAAAAATGAATGAGTCGACTGTTACTACAAAGCAGGGTAAAGTACAGGGTACTATCGTAAAAAGTGTCTTGGGCGCTTCTTACATCGCTTTTTACGAGATACCATTCGCGGCTCCTCCTATTAGAGAACTCAGATTTAAGGTAATGCATTTATTATTATTAGTCACTTACATTATCATAAAATATCGCTTACAATCTCGTTTAACTCCAATCTCTATTAAGTACAATGACGTAAACAAATATGAGAAGTATCAAACAGCAACGCAAGAATGTCCCATTTTAATCTCTCCAGGTAAATATCTTCAAATAAAAGAAATTGGCGTCGAACTTTGTGAGCATGCTCGAGGAACATCTTTTTCGTATCTTTCGAGATATTTGCTCGGGTAAATTGAAATGGGACAAGTAGAAAGATCATTGAATAGACATTAATGTATATCTTCGACTTGGTAATAGGATCCAGAGCCACCCGTTCCATGGACGGATATCAGAAATTGCACCAAATATACCAAAAAGATCTGTGTACAGTCGAGAGAATATCCACCTTACAATGTAATCGGTAACGAGGATTGTCTTTACCTGAATGTGTATACCAATTCTATCAGTGGATCAAAGCCAGTCATGTTCTGGATCCATGGCGGTAAATTCGTAACAGGATCCGCAAGCCCCGGGCTAACAAGTTCTGATTACTTAGTCGCAAAAGACGTCGTTCTTGTTACAGCTAATTACAGATTGGGCGCATTCGGTTAGTTGGATCATTTTCGACTCGATAATTAAAGAAAAAGTTTTATCGTTGAAATTTTCAAGGTTTCTTGAACCTTGGGCACCGAGTCGCGTCCGGAAACCAGGGCTTGAAAGATCTGATCGCAGCTCTGCAGTGGGTTAAGGAGAATATTGCTAATTTTGGAGGCGATCCCGGGAACGTCACGATTTTTGGTCAAAGCGCGGGAGGAGCGTTAACTCACGCCTTATCTATATCGCCAAAAGCACGAGGTAGACTTATCGATTCTTACCTACCATAACCGGTTAAAATTTTATTAATCTGGTAAATCATCATTTTTATTCAGGACTCTTTCACAAAGCAATCTTACAAAGTGGATTTTTGACTGCCAGTTGGGGCTTCGGACAAAATTGTGTGGAACGCAGTTTTAAACTCGCGTCGAACCTCGGAATAACGTCGACAGATCCCAAGGAAGTCGTCGAAATGTTGCGTAAAATGCCCGACAAGGATATCGTCGGAGCTTATTCGTCCATTCTTACAAGACAGGCAAAATATTTTCCATGACCGCGTCTCGAGACAATCAGGTGATTTTTTTAACGACCAACGTAACGTTCCTTTAATCGTTTTACAGGAGTTGGAGTTATACGAGCTGCTCTTTGGGGCGAGTTACGATGGAATGGCAGACGATCCAGTTTTTCCATTGCCAATCGAACAATTATACTCGAACGATAACAGCATTCCTATTATGGCTGGTTACCTGCCATACGAGTGCACCATGTTCTGCAACGGTGATTTTGGTTGAACTTCGTTTTGGGAGACCAACAATTTTGGCCTTATTATTTACCATTGATATTACCACTGGTTAACTCAGACAGCTTACGTGCGTTTTTATAGCAACGTTTCAGTCGTAGATATAGTACAGATTTAACGTCGAGCTTGATCGATACTAATTTACTGACTTGATCGACGCATAAAATAAGTCCTCCAAAACGAAGCGTAACCGTGAATTTTATCGACGTACACGCGACGCGTTGATCGTGTCTAATATGATATTATTTTGTTTCAGCGAATAAGGAAGAAAGTATGGAAGCTTATAATAATTATCTACCGGAGTACGTGAATGTCTTAGGAAAATTAGAAAAGTTAGGACCCGTAGAATTAGAAGAATTATTAAAGACTGTCAAGTGTCGGTATTTCGATGGGCAACCAATTAGCATAAAGAGACTGGACATGCTTATATATTTCCAAACATATGTTTTTTTTATCGCACCCTTAAAACTGTACCTGAGGGATCGTTTGAAAAGAACGTCCACGCCTAGTTACGTTTACAGATTTTCGTACGTCGGGAATGAGAATACATACACGGATCTCAGGTTTAAACGTTTGCTCAATGGTAAAGCTATATTAATCTAAATCTCACTTACGTTAGGGCTGTCGTTGAGTCTATAAGAGTAATACTTAAACATACTTTTAGGGGCATCTCATATGGACGAATTGGCATACCTGTTTTACTCGCCTATTTGTAAAGCCAGAAACCGTGAACCACCTGTAAATGGCACGAAAGACAGAATTATACTGGAACGTCTGACCACGATGTGGACCAACTTCGCTAGAACAGGGCAAGTATTAAATATTGTTAATTTAACAACCATTTAAATAGTATATATTTCACATTTTTAACGTAGAAATCCTACCCCGTGTCACGATGATTTCGTCAAGACAAGTTGGAAGCCCGCGACAAAGGATAATTTCTATTGCTTAGACATCGGCGAAGAGTCTGAATTGTTAACCAAGGAACCGGAATTATTCTGTAGCTCCAATTGAACATTCTAGGTGAATCCATTTCAAATGAACTACCTAGATCTAATCCAGACCCGATGCCAGAAATAAGTTATCAAGCGACACTTGCATTTGTCACATGAAAAAATAGTAAAAACAATTTTCTGGTCGGATGACAATATCTGGTTTGATTTGAAAAAAGTACAATTTGTTTCAGTACGTCTAAAGATTGTCTCGTATACCAGGGTTTGTAATCTATCTTTTAAATCGATATTTACGTTATTCTTCGCTTTCGTTCGAACATTCTTTCCTAATAAGAAATATTTGTCCTCTTGAATGGAGTCGACAGTACTCGCTGCAAATTGAAAACTGATACTCTGTTCATATTTATTTTCGTAACTAATGCATTTTCTTCCAATCTTCGCTGGTGGCGTTTGAACACGAAGGGTCGAAATACATCAACAGAAAAGTATTTAAGTATCGAGGATACATTTTATTGAGCGTGCGATTCGAATAAAATTGGGAAAAATTGAAAAGCATATCAACTTCCGGCCCCGGTATCCTCCATGATGTACGAAAATTTGACCTTTCCGGTCGGGGGGAAAAGGTCACCCCGATTACGCGATAACCAGAAAAAGTTTGGCGATTTCGGAGTAAAGGAACCGACGAAAAGGGGTTGAAATATCACAGACGAAGCGCGAGAGAGAATGAGAGGCGAAAGAGCACGGTGCAGATCACGGCTGAAAAACCAATATGCCTTGTGCGTCGGTATGCAATTAAAGGGTCGAGAGAGTTTACTGTCGATATTTTTCGACCAGCAATTATTGGAATCTTTTTCCCCCCTGATATAGCCGGGTTATAACCGGACCGGACCGACCGAGCACGGTAGTCCTGCAGGACTTTTCTGCATGAAGGACCCTTCAGAAGCGGACAAATGCGGCCACTATATGCACTTATGGTTCTTTCCGCGCTTTCATTAAAAATTGGACTCTACTCTCTAAAGCACCTCGTGCCTTCTCTCGTCGCTCTTTTCTCTTACTCCTCGTCTCTTTTTTCCCCGTCCATCCCTTTCGCTATCCAACGTTCGCTATTTTTCTCTCGTTTCCTCTATTCTTTCATCCATACGCTTACTACGTTCCCCCACTCTCTGTCTCTTTTTTTTTTTTTTTTTTTTGCCACTTTTCGTTCGCGCAAATCGCCAGGATATACCAACCCCCGATGTCAGTCATATTCGCGGTCGAGCTTTTCATCTTTGTTCGTTCTCCGAGGCCCACGGTCCGCGGGGCTCGTTGAAAATTATTTCCTCCGGGTATTCCCGCGCCGGGCATTTCGGCCTCTTCAACGATAATACGAATACCGGATACCCGTGCTGAATTGCAAATAGCCACGTCGACCAGCCCCTGGCTCGAAACGTTTGTCCCGCGTCAAATTGTCGACGGTTAAGCGGCTCTCGTCGCGGGAGTATCGTTTTGCGTTCTAAGGGGAAATCAAGTTCCGGCGTACCGGAGTTCAAGGCAACGAATTAATTCTCGTTCGTTGCTGATGACTCTACTTTACTAGAAACTGACTGCCTCTCGCTACTTACGGGTTTACAATACGATAATGTCGCGTGTACAAACGGACCTTTCGATGGATAAATAATTTTTACGATTTTGGCCACTCCTGCGAAAAGATTCCAGAGACAAAATTAAAACGAAAATCAAGAATATCAATTTTTTGACTGAGGCTTCGTTAAAAAGTAATTAAAAAATTGCAAATCATACTGAAAAAATTATTTTTGGTTGCGGTGGTCAATTATAATTATTTTTGGTGAATATACAAACCCCCGAAATTCTACCGACTTTCGAGACAAAAATTCGTGTAGTTGATGAAATTTTTCGGCGAAAAAAAAATTTTTCAAATCGTTCTAAAAAAATTATTTTCGATTGCAGAGGTCCATTATAATCATGTTTGGTCAATGGACATACACCTGAAATCTTCCCCACTTTCGAGAAAAAAATTCCTGACTGAAAATCTAATGTGAGTCCAGAAATGCACCCCCGAAATTTCATACGAATCTTTAAAACGTCATAACTTTTGAACGGCTTGAAGGATTTTAATATTTAAAAAGGCAAACAATGCGTATTTTAGTGAAGAACATGTATAAATTCTAAAAATATTCGAAAAGTTGTTCCTTGACTCCGCAATATGAGAAAAATAAAAGTGGTCCAATTTTCAAACTGCCATAACTCCTACAATAGTGAACGTATCGCATTGAAACTTTTTTCTAAAGTAGAGCTCATTAGTATCTATAAAAAAGTATTAAACAACGTTTCTGTAGGGTGTTAAATAAAATTACTAAAAATGAAAAACGAATTTTTGGGAAAAATCGACAACCTAAATTTTTAGGCGAAAAGTAAAAATTTCATATCGTTTTGGAAAAATTATTTTCGGTTGCGGGGGTCAATTACAATCATTTTTGGTCAATGGACATACTCCCGAAATCCTACCCGCTTTTGAGAAAAAAATTCGAGGTGTGAAATTTTTCGACAAAATTAAGAAATTTCAAATCGTCCTAAAAAAATTATTTTTGATTGCGGGGGTCAATTACAATCATTTTTGGTAAACAGACATACCCCCCAAAATCCGGCGCATTTTTGAGAAAAAAATTAAGCACGGGCGGAAATTTAAACGTTAACAACTTTTTAACGAAGGCTCCATCAATAAATTGGTATTCTTGACTTTCGTCCTATTTTGGCCTCTAGAATCGCCCATTACAATTTTTCCCAGGGGTGGCCAAACACTCTGTATAATAAAATATTTATGCGTTTCGTCGTAAAAATTCTATAGCGTTCGAATATTAATTTTATCGTGGCCCTATCGTTTCCCAAAACAATACGAACGTCGTTTCGAGGGGATTTTTGTGAATTTGTTTAGTACACGTAGATTCTACAAGCTGTTCTACGCGATCGTCACATGCAGCTACACACGCGTTGTCAAATATATTGCCGTGCAACCGGGGGGGAAAAAACCCAGGTGCAAGTCGAAATTGCGCACTGCGGAGAACTACAAATCCCCAATGAAATTTTGCATTCAATTTATAACAGTCGCGATTCCGTGCAATTCCGTGCAGATCGCGTGGTAAAAATACGCGCGATTCTCTCGGGTTCCATTCACGATACGCAGCCAGGATCTTCGATCGCCGACGAAGAGATGTCTCCACGTGCTTCTCCGACCATGTACGAATATTTCTGCACATACCTGCGTATTTATTAAGGCGCGAAAACGTGAAAATACGTACAGTATTTAACATTCCCGCCAAATATTTATGGGCATACATAGTGCAATGCAAATGAGATCTAACTGTAAGATCAAGGAAACGAAAGCACAAATATGATACTTTACTATTACGAATGTCGAAGATTCTTAATCAACGAAGAAAAAATATATGTATATAAACTATGCCTAGACAAGCAGTCCATTTGCAATATTTATAAACTATATTACGCGTCCTACATATCGTGGGAGCAATACCTTTAAAAAGAAAAGGTTATTAAAATAAAAAAGTATGCTTCTGTTTCAGAAAACAAACGAGACCAAATTTTTATAGCGTCCGTAAGTACGAGTTTGTCATTATACATGAAAATATAAAGAATACGCACCTGTCGTTATTCGTTTCTGTTTCAGAAAACAAACGAGACCGAACTTTTACAGCGTGAGTAAGTGTGAGTTCGCCAGTTGCACATCAGAAAAGGGGGCACGAGACTGGAGTGGGTCTTCCTGACTTTTGACAGGTCGAAAACCCCGATGTAGCTGATGTTCTCCTAAATCTGGGCTGCTATCTTGGTGGCTCTGGTCAAATCCACTCATCTCACTTCCACGTGGGGCACTCGGGATCCTGTACCCATTTCTTAGGCGCAGGGTGCGAAAGAGTGAGATGTAGTCGATTTGGATAGGCGTTTGAAATCGAGTCATCGAGATCTTATTTTTTTCCCCTCCACCGGTTTCTCCTCGTTCTTAGTTTTCCATCTAGCTTCTCGCTGCTTGCTTTACTAATTAACCCCTTCCCGTACTTTAACGAGTCTGACTCGTGACGATGATTTTGGCCCAAACGTAAACATCACGAGCCAGGCTCGCGTACAGCGAATCACGATTCGTCAAACTTGCATTTAATTTCTTCTTGTTCGTACGAGCGTGTCGTTCGACCCCCGAAGTAGCTGGTCGCTTAATTAATTTATCAAGAAATCTCGCGTCGATCGTTTCGAGTGAAATTTTCAGCGCTGGTCTAGCGCGGGACCTGTTCGCGTCTCGGGCGACAGCATAACGTCTGAATATGGCCGTAGGCGTCAGGCGGTTCGATCGACGTGGCCTCGAACGTCGAATAACAGGTAATTGCTTCGATCAGTTCGCGAAAAGAACGACGACCGTCCGTTACGTAAGTCATTAATAATAACATTTTACGGGAGAGAGTGATCGTACGGAGATCTTTCAATTTGTGTTACATTCGTGTTCGTACGCAACCTTCGACGAAGCCCGACTTTCCCTCGCCGGTTTCGACGCGAAAGACAGCGTTACGATTTTTGTGCTCGTAACGTTATTGCAAGGACGTCGGAGCAACGAGACTGGTTCCCATAATTGTAATCGATGGCGAAACGATCGTACACGATTACCAGCGCTGGCGAGAGTTGACCAATCGGTCGATTACGCGCAATTATCTGTTTAGCGTTCTAACAGGCGATTTAACCTTCTCTCTCTCTCTCTTTTTCTCTCGCGAGGGATGCAAGTACTTTTACCGAGCATTGTGTCTCCCGCGAACGAGACTGAATGAAACCGGGAATGCATCGTTGCAGTTTTGACTCTAACAGGTTATTCGAAACGTTCCTCGAAGCTCGAGACGGGCGACGATTATTTTCCTCTTATTAGTTCTCCCCTCGATGCAATTACGTCGCTATACAGGGTGTCCCGTAATTAGTGCAAGAACCGGAAATGGGGGGTAGCTGTGACGATTCTGAACAACAATTTCCTTTGCAAAAATGTCGGATGGGGCTTCGTTTTTGAATTATTAACGAAAAACACTGGCCAATCACGGCGCGCGCCTACCGCGCGCTCAAGGCCGTCCGAATTCGGAGAGCCCACGCCGAGGAACGAATACAAATAATTAAAAATACTACCACTGCAACCGTTACCTAATTCGTTAATTACTACGTAATTACTACGTAAATTACTAAATCGAATTTATTAATTATTTGTATTCGCTGTTTCCGAGGAAAAAGGAATAAAATCTCGGAATTTTTACGAAATTATTTATTTAATATATCTCCCCAGAGTGTTTTAAAATTAAAGTAAGAATTATTTTCAGATAATTAAAATAAATACGGCAAGAACCATTTGCAAACGTTTGTTATTAAAACCTGTACTGAAAAAGCGGACTGGATTACTGCGTGCCGAAACATTCCTCGAATACAGAGTTAATAGAGAAATAATTGAAATTTGATTTACCTGCAGCGCTGGCAATAGGGCCCGGACAGTGCACCACTGTCGGTCACGACGGTGCAGTGCCCGGGTCATCCCAGCAGCTGATTTTCGTTGGGGTCGTCGACCTTGCAGAGGGTAAATCAAATTTCAATTATTTCTCTATTAACTCTTTGCATTCGAGGAATGTTTCGGCACGCAGAAATCCAGTCCGCTTTTTCAGTACAGTTTTTAATAACAAACGTTTGCAAGTGGTTCTTACCGTATTTATTTGAATTTTCTGAAAATAATTCTTACTTTAATTTAAAAAAAAACACTCTGGGGAGATATATTAAATAAATAATTTCGTAAAAATTCCGAGATTTTATTCCTTTTTCCTCGGAAACAGCGAATACAAATAATTAATAAATTCGATTTAGTAATTTACGTACTAATTACGTAGTAATTAACGAATTAGGTAACAGTTGCAGTGGTAGTATTTTTAATTATTTCAATGCACATCTTACTACCTACCCGACGCGTTGGCTCTCCTAGTTCAGACGACCCTGAGTGCGCGCCGTGATTGGTCAGTGTTTTTCGTTAATAATTCAAAAACGAAGCCCCATGCGACATTTTTGCAAAGGAAATTGTTGTTCAGAATCGTCTCAGCTACCTCCCACTTCCGGTTCTTACACCAGTTACGGGACACCCTGTAGATT